TGTCTCTGACCAGATCCCTCTCCCCAAGGCCATGCCCCTGTTCCCCATGCCCGTGTCTGTCCCATCTCTGTCTCTGACCAGATCCCTCTCCCCCATGGCCATGCCTCCGTCTCCCATGACCCCACCTCCTATCCAGGCTTTGCCCTTGCCCACCATGCCATCACCCCGAAACACCCAGGGTTCCAATCTTGCCCTCTCCATGCCCAAGGCCTGAAGGCCTACCCAGGACCATTCCTCTCTATCCTGGTGATGAGGCAAATGGGCAGAGAGGGTGGTCAGATGGTAGGATCAACACAAACAGCCCACGGGGCTGAGAGCAGGAATCCCCTGTATCGACAGGCAGGGGAAGCTCAGCCCTCATCCTTGCCTGCTTTTCTCCCCCTACACGTCCCATGTCCTGGGCTCTTACCTGGCACTGCCTGGGACCCCGGGTCCCCATTGCCAGCCACACGGCCTGTGCTGCTGCCTCCCTGCGCCCGTTTGTGCCCCGGCTCTCAGGCCGCCTGCTCCCTCCCTCCGTCCTTCCCTCCCTCCCTCAGGGCGGCTCCTCAGCTCTCAGCCTCCTGCTGCCCCGCCCCCATGGCCTCCAGGGGTTGCTCTCGCCCATGCTCCCTGGGGGCCCGAGGTGCCAGAGACCCCCTCTCTGCTCTGCTGGCAATGGGCACAGGCCCCTCTGGGCCCCAGCTCTGCCCACAATTTGGCCTGGCCCCCAGGACCCCTTCTCCTTTGAGCAGCCCCCTTCTCCCTCCTGCAGCTTTCTCATTGCCTCATTAATAAAGCGGATAAAATCTAAACACTGGAAAATGTGAGTGTGGCCAGGGGCGGCCAAGGGCTGCTTCAGGGGGTGTTGCTGCCCTTACTGGGGCCATGGGGTTAGGGGGCCAACTCGGAGAGGGGGCAGTGACACCCCTTGCCCCAAAGAGGCTTCCTGGAAGTCAAGGTGGGTGGTAGGAGGCAGCGCCTTGAGTGAGACCCAGTGCCTTGGGTCAGGCCCAGCCTGGCCCTGGAATCCACCCACTATTTACACAGGGGCTTAAGCCCAGGCCAGGGCCCAGCCAGTCATACCCTGGGGAGCAGGGAGGAGGCTGAAGGGGGACACGAGCCAGGAAGCCCGGCTATCCGAGGACTAGCTTTCCCCTGGCGAGCTCCTCCACTAAAGTTCTGCTCCAGGATGCGCTAACCAGCACTGGGACATCTGATCCCCAGCCAAGAAGATGGCCTTGCCTGGCCACCTAGTCCTAGAAGTAGGGTCACAAGCCTGGAGCCTACATCTTGCCCCACCCCCTGAACCTGGTTACAGTCACCCTGGTCCCCAGCACCGGACTCTCTTAGCTCTGGCCGCCATCATTCCCCCTGACTCACTGTGACCACCTCGCCCACGGCATGGACGGAGGCCAGTATCTGACTGGGAAGAGACGAGCTGTGAGGACAGCCACTTCCTTCAATGTCCTGCAACTCAGCGCCTCGCCACCAAGGAAGTGAACGTCACCCCTCAGTGCCAAGGAGAGTCTTATGGAGCAAGGAGACACGTATTGTATCCCTTGCTGCTGAGAGAGCCCCGTTGTGTCATCCAGACACATCCCTTACTACAAGGCACACACTACACCCCCAAAATAGGAAGAGTGGCTCACCTCAAATACACTGCGACCTAGTCAGTCATCTCCTTCCCAGAAACAGGTGCACGAGAAACGATGCTTATGTCCCTAGACCTCAAGACCTAGCTGCCCCCCACATCCAACACTGACACACTGGCTCAACCCCTGACGTGGCTGGTGATCCTCTTCCAGAAAGAGCCACACCAAGACACAAGCTTAGGCCCCTAAACCCCCAGATGTAGCCAATGACAGACACCCAGAAATCACAATAACCATCTTAATGTCCTGAAACAACTGCACCCTCAACAGTCTGCCAGTTATACTCCTGAACCCTGAGGACACAGTCCTCACACCCTTGCCCACAAGAAACACAAAGCTCAGCCCTGGACACCAGCATCAACCATGGACAGAGGCTCCCCACCCCCTCGACAGGCACAGACCCAAATGCCACCTGCAGTGACCACCCTGCCCTGGTGAGCACAACACTGCTGGCTGGTCACCTCCCACCCGTCACCCTGCTGCTGGGAGTGGGGAGTGGGCAGACACGCAGCTCTCCAAAGCCTCTTGGCTTGCCCCAAACATTCCTGCAGGGACCTCTGACTTGGCTCCCCTTCTTTCAACGCTACTCCTTCCCCTCCAGGTCTGGCCAGGGTCCCACCCCCCTCTCCTATCCCTCCCCAGCTTGAGGATCAAGTGGGCTGTCATAACAAGTAAGCTAGGTTTATGTCTGCTGCAAAGCAGCTTCGGCCATGGACACCAGAGACCCTAAACGGCCAGCCAGGAATCTGCTGGAGTGGGGGCAGGGCACCATTAGGAGTCCCCCTGCCCTGGGCTGGATGCGGGTAGGAGGGCATGGGCACCTGCCCCAAACCCGTGTCCTGGGTGGTCTGCGGGTAGCTGCTTCCTTTCCACATTCAGACCTAAGGCTCTGTCACCCAGAGCCAGCTGCCTGGGTGCCTTCTTGCCCTGATGCTCCTCAAGATCAACCCCTGCCCCCCCCCCCCAGAATACAGCCTCATGCCCGTGGGACGGGGCTGGAGCACACGAGGGCTGCTTCCTCAGGGTTCACTCGGAGGGCCCAGGATTTGAACCCCCAGTAGGCCAGGCAGCAGCGGCCTTGCCTGGAAGCCTGTGGCCTGAAGCCAGGAGCCTCATCAGGCGGAACGGTGGGAGGGGGCGGGCAGGCAGCTTCTAATTCAATTTGGAGCCGGAGGAGGATGGATTTCAGCTGCTGCATTCTTTCCCAGCCCCGCTGCACCCCCACCCACCCAGAGCACACAGGTCCAACAGCAGATAGATTCTTTATGTTCAGACAGCAAATCCAGATACAAAAGCCCACCGCCCACCGCCTGGTCACCAGTGGTGGCAGGTCCAGGCTGGGGGGGGGAGGGGGAGGTTGGGGTTCACAGCAGACTCGTTCAAATTTGGAGGTAACAGACTTCAGGGCGAGGGGCTCCTCTTGGGGGCAGCAGGTAGGAGGGTATTATTGCATCTGCTGAGGGGGATGCCCCCCCTTCTACATTCCCTGCGTCAGGAAACTACGGAGGTCGCAACCCCCAAACAGAACCCAAGGCCCCAGGGAGACTCAGGGACCAGTTTGGCAGCTGATGTGGAAAGTGTTGAGGGCGGAGATGGCCGCCCAATTTGGCAGGTCCCTCCCTGCGGCGCCTAACTCGGCTGAGGTAGGTGGGAGCAGGGCAGGGGGGCCTGGACACCCCAGCTAGGCTAGAGAATAAGGGAGTGGTACCGATTCAAGTGGGGCAGGGGCCTGGCCCCACCTCTGCTCCTCACCACCCACGGGCTGGGGTCTGGAGTACAGTGGTCCCTCTGGGCTCCCCATGAGGCTAGGCCTGGGTCACTGCAAGGTCCAGAGGATGGCCTAATACCGGCCGACCTTGGCGTCCCCAATGGCGCCCCAGACGTCAAAGACGAACTCGTCAGGGAAGGCGAAGTCACCGAGCTGCTCGTCCAGGGCCTCAGCCAGCTCGTCTGGGTTCCTTTTGTCCTTCCCCAATTCCACCATGGTGGCCGCTGGGAGAGGGGGCAGAATGAAGAGAGAGATGGCCTGGGCATCAGAGATCCAGCCCCTCTGGGACCTAGAAGCCCCTTCCCCAGCCCAGTCCAGCCCCAGGCACCCCACTCACCCAGCTCGGTATCCCTGATGCCCATGTAACTCTCCAGCAAGTCATCTACCTTCTCAATGGCCTTCTCCTCAAAGGCCGAGGGCTGAGGGCACAGCGACAGAAAGGCAAGTAAAACAAAATAGCAACCATACTTCGCAAGTGTCACGTCCTCTTTCTACCATTTAGATTAACCCTTATGTAGTCCTCATAGCAACCCTAGGCATTGTTGCTATTATCCCATTTTACAGCTGGAGAAACTGAGGCTCAGCTGTTTGCAGCATTATAGAAGGATGGTGGCAGAGGTGGGAGTAGAAGGTGCACACTAGAAGGTGTGTGGGTGAAAACAACTTACTAGATCTTCCACTGTGGCAGGGCCCCGGGATCGGAGCCGCAGGGTCCCTCGGCCAGTGCCCAGCTGGGGGCCAGAGCCCGGGCGACCACCTCCTGAACGCTGGCCAATCATATCTGTGGGAGGAAGCGAGTGGGTGAGGGCTGGAGAAGCCTCCCAGCATGCTCTGGAACCCAGATCCCTAACTTCTGGAGTGAACCCCAAATGGCAGGACTCCTGACTCTTGGGCGTGGCATGGTCATGGGATGGGTTGCCAGAGGCTGGGGATGGAAAATGCTGCAGGGGTGGAGGGGGTCCTTTCCCTTCAAGCTTCCAAGGCCTGAGCCAGGCAAGGGGTGGGGCCTGGGTCCCCAGCTGCCCCCTCCAAATCCAAGAGGGATATAGCTACTGAGCCACAACCAACTACCTGCTAGGGACAGGGCTGAGTGTCCCCCACCTCCACCCAGGGGCCCCGGGGCCATTCCTTGGAGTTAGTGAAGCCCATCAGTGAGGTAGCAGGTGGGGAGTGGCTGGAATGGTGCAGCCAAGCCTAGCTCCTCTGGGTTGGGGGCGCTTGGCTGGACTAATGGCTCCTGGAAGCTGGGGGTGGGCCAACTTCCTCTTTGTCCCACTCAAGTTCTGGGCGGAAAGCCAGTGGCCCCTCTCTGAGGCTGGGTGGGGATGCCCAAGGTTCCCTGGAGGCCCACTGGCTTCGGGTGCCACCTACTGGCGGCTCCCAGCACCGCAGCCTGGACTCAGGTGAGTAGGGCACCCCGCAACCCTCACCCCTCACCAAAGGCTCTGCGGGGCTCTGTGAGCTTCAGCGTGAAGGTGCGGCCTCGGGGCAGCTCCTTGAGTCGCCTGGCCACCTCGTAGTGCCGACAGCCCAGCAGGCTTTGCCCGTTGATGGCCTCGATCATGTCGCCCACGCGGATGAGCTGGATGTGGTCGATCACGCTGCCCTCCCTGATACGCTGTGGAGGGGAGCAGGGGGACTGTCAGCTGCCAGGACCTCGCCCCATGCCCCCCCCCTTCACCCCGGGACTGGAACAAGCCCCTCATCCCGGGCACCTTGATGAAGGCGTAGCCAGCCCCGTTGTCAGTGATGGTGAGCCCCAGTGCGTCCTCCGACTTAAACACCTCCACCTCCTTGCGCTGCCCCTTGACGTGGGCGAAGATGAAGTCTTCCAGCCCGATCTGCCCCCCCAGGAGCTTGTCCATGTCCACTTTGTGGGTGTTGAGGGTGCAGAACATCACCTGCGAGGGTGGGGCGCACACAGCTCTCACCTGCCTTCACAAGGCAGCAAGGAGGAAAGCTGGGAAGACTTGGGGGGGGGTGTCCTCTGACCCAGTGAATGACCACCCGGCGCCCGGGCAGGGCACCACTGGGATGCAGTTCTGCTGGGATCAGGTTTCAGCCCTCTGTATCTTCCAAGCATAGATCAGAGGCTGAGGCATGCTGGGTGCTCAGTAAAGGCTCAAGGGAATGAAGAAGCTGATGGCCACCCTGCTCAGGGCCACCCTCCCGCCCCCGGACAATCCACTGGGTTCAGCCCTCGGCATCCACAGCTTCAGCATCTTCAGAACGCAGCATCTAAGGCCTAGCTCGTGAAGAGGATGAAGAACCTGGCTTCCAGCCCACCCTCAGGGGCATGTGGTCTTGCTGAGGGTCCCAGGCCCCTGTGCCCAGTCCCCAGCACGTACCTCAGCAGGTGGCAGCCGGAAGGCCCCGGCGATCTTGTTATAGAGCTCCTTGACATTGGTGAAGCCCTCGATGCGCCCAGTGGGGCTGCCGTGGGCCAGCTGGGTGTGGAAGACGAGGCGGGGCCGCAGGGCCGGGGGAGGCAGGCCCATCTGGGGGCCCCCTGCCTCCGCTCCGCCCAGGGGCCCTGGCTCGCCCACGCCCAGCCCACCCCGGCCTGGCTCGGCCTCCTCATTTTCCACTAGAGGGGGCGCCTTTTTCCGCCGCCCTAGTCCCAGTGGCATGAGCAGCCGAGAAGAGGGGGCGCACCCAGGAGATCTGTAGAGCAGAAAGGTGGGGTCAGAGCCTGGCAGTGGCCTCATGCCACCCTTCTCCTGCTCCCACAGACCCAAGGAAATGTTTCGGGAGGAGCCTGGCCTCAGTTCAAATCTTCACACAGACCTAACAACAACTAATAATTTATGACAACTCCATACCAACTGCTCCTGGATCTTACTTAATCCTTAGCCATCACACCGTCATGCAGCAACTCTGGCGATGCCCGCTTTAACGGGTGTGGGAATGGAAGATCAAAGAACTGCCTCTTTCTTCCCATCTGCTTTCATCACGAGTGTCAGGCAGTGTTCTTTCTGCCTCTCCCTCTTCTGAGCACGCAGGCAGCTGGCGCTTGCCGACTCCCTTGTGACTGGGTGGGCATATGACCAGTGCTGGCCAATGAGTTGTGAGAAGGAGGGACAACACGACGCGACCGGGGTGAAACACTTCAGGGTTGCTGCGCCGTCCTCCAAACCCAAGAAATGAAACCCAGCCACTCAGTCCATCTAGTCTCACAGCGACCCTAAAGGGCAGCACAGATTCCCGCAACAGGGCGTCCAGAGCCGACTGCCACATCCTTCTCCCAAGGACCAGCTGGCGCCTTGGAAGTGCTGACCTTCTGGTGCACACGCTGTGTCACCAAGGCTTCTCCCGGAGGTCTTCCAGAGCTCTCTGGCTCTGGCAGGGTGACCAGCCACATCCGACACAGTGGCTCTGTTCCTGAGTGACCCTGCTGGATGGAGCCCCACCCCCTGCCCCCTGACTACCACGAATATGGAGGAACAAGCAATTAACTTCTGTCCAGTTCAATCACCAAGATTCTGGGATTGGCTATTACTGTGATAAAGCTCATGCTGACTACTACACTGCCTCCCCCCCCACCTCTCACCTACCTACCTACCTTCCTTCCTTTTCTTTCTCTCTCCCAGTGTTCTTCAAACTTTCATAAGGAGTTTACAACATTCCACACCCTGTTGTATTTCTGGCGGCGGCACTGCCTTCAGTAAGAAAAGCAAGGTCACTGCCTGGGGCCACCACGTGCAGTCACACCCGGCAGTGCAGGGGGCAGACGTAGGAGATCTCAGTGGCGGGAGGCACTGGCTCACTTGTGCTACATAGACTTTGTCTTTTCTGTCTGAGATTGTCCAGTCAGGATGGGAACACACACAGAGAACAAGCAAATATGGAAGGAGCAAGGGTGATTTCGAACGGTGCTGTGAAGTCAATAAAACAAAGCAAGCTCTTTAGACAAGGTCAGGGAGGAGGAACTCTCTGAAGATCTGAGCAGGTGAAAATGTATACAAGATCTGAATGAAAGGAAGAAGGATCTATGCCCTGACCTGGGACACAAAAGACAGCTATGCAAAGTAGAGACATGATGCTTGGCATGTTTTAGGAACAGCAGAGAGGCCTAAGTGCAAAAAAAAAAAAAAGAGGCAAAGACAGGGAGGTGACGCAGCCTGGTAGACGGCTGGAGGTCAACTTTTGCTCTGAGTGACGCCCTGAAGGGCTCTGAGCAGACTGGATCTGCTTTCTGGCTCTCAAATCAAGGAGGCCAGTGCTGCGGAAGTGGAGTGAGCCGGAAAAGGAGGGCCAGGGCTAGGTCATGTGGGCCTTGTAGAGTGGGACAGAATTCAAATTCCATTTTTAAATTATACAACCAAGACACAGGAGCGTGGTAACACCAAGTCTGTTCCATCCCCAAGCCCTAGTTCATAAGCACAAAACTGTCCTCTTGATGGAGAGAAAGATGGGTCACTTTCTCCTAATACGATTTACAGCTTTAGAAACCCGGTAGAGGGTAGCTATGCGTTGTTCTGACATGACTCGTCGGCAAAATTTCTGCCTCTGGAGAAAAACAGAGAGATTGAGAGAAAGGACTTGATTGCTGTGGGGCTTAGATGCCTTTCTGCAAATTGAAATCAAACACTTAACCTTGCTGGGCTGTGGTTAGAATCAACTTCTGGGAAACCATATCTTTCTCTGGAAAAGGGGACTTCTGTGTGCTTCGTTCAGACCACCTCCTCCAGGACCCGTCCTGGATTCAGTCAGCTACCATTACCTGTACATCCATCTGCCCCTACATGAATTTATTCATTCACCCTCCAAAACCTCAAACCGCCTCACCCCACTATTGCTCACCTAGACTACTGAAGTCACCTCCTCCTCCTGCTCCCCGGCTTCCACCTTGGTCCCACGGTCCACCGTCAACACAGCAGCCGCAGTGATCCTGTAAACATCAGTCAGAGTTTGACTGGGCAGGGTTCTCTCTTCAAAGCCCTCCATGGCCCCACCCACACTCAGAGCAATATCCCAGAAAGCCTGGCAAGCTCTGCCCCTTCTCTTCCCTGCCTTTTCCTCCTTCCACTTTCTTCCTCTGCTGTAGCCACTAGGGACCTAGGTGGCCCCAGGGCCTTTGCACTGTTCCTTCTGCCATTCATAAGACGGCCATATTATGTGTCTGTCATCTCGATAGCCTTATGGCCTAGACCAGTGCTTGGTTCATAGTAGGTGTGCAATTAAAAGTGTCATTAAACGACTGACTGATGCCAATACTCACTAGCCCCTATGCCTGGCTCCAAGGAGACAAAAGGTCATCAGTGTGGTCCCTACTCTCAAGAGGCTTGTTTCCCTGGCAAAAGCATAAGCCAGTTTTAAAAATTACCCCCAGTCGACGTCCCAGCACAACAATGAACACACATCACTATGTGCATCAGGGAGTCGGCAAGCTCCCCAGACACAGTCAGGGGACCCACCTCACCCTTCACCGTGTTTCTGCGTGCACTTCCCTGATAGTCTACGCTGCCAAACCCCTTTAGCACCTTTTTACACATTCAGATTTGCCCTTCTGTGAATTCTCTCTCTTTTTTTTTATACTTACACACTATTTTATTAGTTTGGTTACAAAGTTCATATACATTGTGTTTCACACTATTCATTCCCATGCATTATGTTTTATACAGTTAATCTCCATTGGACCTTGACCATCAAGCGCCCCGTCTTTTCAGGTCCCCTACTGAATCCTACCCTCACCCCCACCTCCACCCTCATGATCTCCTTCTTCCTGATTTATGTTGTTGCTGTTGTTATGAGCTGTTGAGTCAGAGATGAACCCCCCACCAGGTTTTCAGAGGCTGTAACTCACACAGGACAAGCCTGCCATCTTTCACCCGCCGAGGGGCTGGTGAATTCGAACTGCATATGCCTTGGGATTGGCAGTGCAACACCTCACCACTAGGTCACCAGAGCTCCCTTTAGTGATTTACAGGAACTCCTAATATATTTATTATTTACATCATGTCAGGAGCTGGCTAACTGCAAAGCAGGAACAGCGATGCACTGTAAAAACAGCAGGACCACTCATCTTGGCTTGACCATGCATTCTGCAGTAAACAACTCCAGGAAGCAGTATGCTAATGAATAAGGAGGGACCAAAGGCCTCAGAATTCTAGGAATGTGATACCTTCTTGTTTTCCAATAGATATCATAGGATATCGGAGAAGATGGCTTTGTTTTGTGTTGGGATCTGGGAATGTTTGATCTACCAGTCAACACCTTGGACAGATAAGAGATAATGCAATTACCCCTGCAGGCATGTTCCTAAGACGTGTATATATACCCTTGCCAGAATATTAAACTCCCTCTTTGTCATCAGCAATTAGCCTCTCCGCATCTTCATTTCAACCTGGTGCCTGCTTTTGGCAGAATTCTCCCGATATCGGGGCTCCCCGATAACATAGTAAGTCTAGGGAGCTCTGGTGGCTTAGGGACAAGGAGATGCACTGGTAACCCCAAGACACACAGTCTGCATCCACCAGTTGCTCCATGGGTAAAAGATGTACAATCTCCCGTGTGATTAACTGCCTCTGAAAATCCACTGGAGGTTCAGCTCCAAGTCAAAGGCAAATAACAACAAAAACTGTTGAGTCGCTGTGACTCATAGTGACCCTGTGTACAACAGCCCTAAACCCTGCTCTGTCCTGTGCCAATGTCACCGTCTCCGACACCCCCATCCTGACTACCCCAGTCACTGAATCAATCCACCTCATAGAGGATCTTCCTCTCCTGCGCTGTCCCTCCACCCTACCAAGCATGATGTCCCTCTCCAAGGACCTGTCTCTCCTTACATGTCCAAAATATGTTAGATGGAGCCTCAGAATCCTTGCCTCCAAGGAGCAGCCCCTCTTAACCTTCTACAGGAGGAACCTGTTCGTTTTCTCAGCAGTCTATTCAATACTCTTCTCCAGCACCACAGCTCAAAGGCATCAATTCTCCAACAATAACAATAGTAAGTAAATACTTATATATGCAAAGGCACCTAAATGTGTGGATCCTAACAAATTTTATAACATTCAAAAGAATGAGAATTCCATAACACTTAATTGTGCTCATGAGAAACTTCTACTTAGACCAAGCAGCCGTTCAAACAGAACAAAGGGAGACTACACGATTTAAAATCAAGAAAGGTGTATCTAAGGGTTGTATCCTTTTTCTATACCTATTCAATATGTATGCTGAACAAATAATTCAAGAAGCTGGACTAGACGAAAAAGAATGTGGCATCAGGATTAGAAGCAGCAAGCTATTTTATGCAGATGACAACATCTTGCTTGCAGAAAGCGAAGAAGACTGGAGTACTTACTGAAGAATTACAGCCTTCAATATAGATTATATCATGTTGTTGTTGTTAAGTGCTGTCAAGTTGTAGGTGACTCATAGTGACCCTATGAACAAAACACCTGAACACCTGTATAACTTTTATCTGTTCTCCAGGTTCATAGGGCTTCCAGAGGTAAGCTTACTTCATAAGTGGATGCCACTCCTGCTTCTAAGCTTGTTTCAATTGGGGAGATCCACCAAACACCGTCCACCATGGGTAACCATTATTGCCATTTGACACAACAGTGTCACAGTGTTCAGCTTCAAAACAACCACGAGTTACCTCTTTACAGCAAGTGGACAGACCAGG